GGAGACGCAGACGAGGGTGAAGGAATAATGAAGGAGATAGTTGACCAAACACTAATCTGTCGGGAACAACGAGGGAGCGGTTCTTGTGTCCGAGAGGTCAAATCTGGCTTTCCCAATAATAGCCGAAAGGACGTGGGAGAGGCGAGCGGGGCACAAGAAAGGATTTATGGCGTTTCGGATTCAGACTTCGTAGCTGCGTATTCCTTCAAGGAATCTTTATTGTGGCCCTGACTATTTATCCGTCTATATCCATGTAGGTAGATATGTAGACTTAAATATATCTATGTATACAAGGCATATTCGCTCACGCACGCATACACTCTCTCTCTCTCTCTCTCGGTCTCTCTCTCTCTCTCTCTCTCTCACTCTCTCTCTCTCTCTCGCTCTTCTCTTTCCTCTTCTCCTCTCTATTTCTCTTCTCTCTCTCGTCTCTCTCTCTCTCTCTCTCTCTCCTTCTCTCTCGTTTCTCTCTTCTTCTTCTCTCTCTCTTCGCTCACACGACATTCTGTCTCTCTCCGATATTCAATTTAACGATATTAAGAAATGAAACCAGGCGAAATAATAATAATGATAATAATAATAATGATAATAATAATAATAATAATAATAATAATAATAATAATAATAATAATAATAATAAAAGAATAATAAAATAATAAATGAATATATGCATGCACTTTGCTCGGAACGACATCCAAATCGAAAGAAAACGCGATTGTTGAAGCCAAAAAAATATTTTCAAAAGCTATCGCTGCAAAACCCAAAACCCAAAGGCACCTTACGTCGGACAAAGTCAGAGCAAGCATTCAAGATTTTCTGTTTACCTGTTGTGCGTGTCAACAAAAGCGGTTGAGTGAAGGGACACCAAGATGGATTTTCGGCCTCTCGCTATTGTTTTTGTGGTAGTGTGACTGCAAAGGGGAAAGGCGTGTGAACTCGTAACGTGATGTGAACTGTTTTCCTTCGTGAACTTTTTAAGTGTGGTTAGGGTGTATATACTATAGGGGAGTCGAAAAAATATAAAAGAAGAAAAAAGTGTGACTGTTGATCTACAGTTGGATTTCGAGATATTTTCTCTTTGGCGTGCGAAATGATTGGTAAGTTTCTGTTTTAGATATGTTTGTTTTTGTGTGTGTAGGATGATTATGGTACAGGTACATAAAGTAATACAGGTCCAGTTCTATACAGCCTTCGTTTTAGACGAAAAATAAATATACGCAAACGATTGAGCGAGTGATTCTAAGGCCTACGCATCTTAAACTATATTCTCCCCTTCTATTTTCCCGCTCTATAAGATGCGGTTGCCATTTCGCTCTACTGCGCGCGTCTGTGTCTTAAACTTATTCAATTAATCTTACACCTGAGCAAGGTTCCCCTCCCCTACCAACATTTTTATGACAGGCGGGCATTTCCTGTATTGTTGTGGTATCTGTAAGTTTGCTTCCCAAAGCCAGATAGTACAAGATAAATTTTGCCTGTAAATGCAGAGAGAGAGAGGAGACTTCACTATGGTTTTACCTTCGCAAGTTGAACTAACAGTAACGTTTGCAGCACGCAATACTTTGGAATACATTTACAAGGAAATGTATGGCATTATGGATAATTAAAGAAAATGCACTATTACAATGCATGGAATAATCTGATTATACAAAATCATACGTCATCTGGGGTTAGGAAGGTTTTTTGGTTCAAAAGGCCTCGCGTTTGTGGATTTCCAGGAATGGAGTAATTGGGACATAATCTCAGAAGGTGCGGTCACTTCGTAAACAATATATATATTTTTTCCATTTATATCATATGCGATGGAAAATAAGAGATTCACGCATATCACAACGTTGATAATGCAAAGAAGGAATGATAAGAAATAATGATTGAAAGATTGGATGCCTATATGCAGTGTTGTGCAGGTGGACATTTCATATATGCTGATTTGTCAGGCGGGCATTCCCGTTACTGGTGCTTGAGACACTTCGGTAATCCTTTAAGTAATCAGGTCATCATATCCAAAATGAAAGCTTTTCACACCAGTTCGCGATGGCTGTGATGATCTAATATAGGGAACGCCTATACATTAGAATTGTTATTTGGTTCACCAATAAATCATAAATAGTCTTGCATCGATGGAAAAAAGTAAACAGAACAAACACGTATATAAAATCAAGCGAACTCATAAAACTACACAGCAGACTAAAGCATGGGAAATGCCTCCTGCACAAAACTCCAAGCAGGAGGAATGTCCACCCTCAGAAGAATTCCAGGCAGCGAATTTCCCCCCCCCTCTCCTCCTCCCCTATACATGACCAAGCCGTAGTGAAATACCGCCAGGCTGAGAGGAACGCGAGGAAAAGCTCGGTAGGGTAATTCGTCCGACTTCTGACTGTACATCTGTTAAGGCGATTCGTTACAGTTTGGGAATGAGACTCGATTCGGAATAGTTTTAGTTTCCACACAGCCTTCCAGTTAAAAGGAAACATACATTTATTGGACATAATGAAAAAATAAGCGAAACTTTTCCTCAATGGCTTTATTTCCGCAACTTGAATTAATTACAAAGTTATAAGGTATGTGAGGGGATAAAAAAAGCTAGATTCTACGCTTCTGAAATACTCTTACGGGTGTGACCATGTGTATGTCATTGAGCAAGCATGTTTGTTTTATTCATAGAGAATCTAATAGATGGTAATACTTGACTTTACTAACATCATCAATGAAGGAGATACTGAATGATTTGATGACTATTGAAATGTCACTTGTTTATTGTCACAGTATCCGTGAGCCATATTGTCCATTAACCACACCATGACAGTGATTAACTACCAGTAGTATATAAAACCCCACAAAGACCAATTTGGATAAAACGGGCAGATTTTACAGTATCACAGAGAACAGAAGGATAAACACCGACACACCTCCTATCAATGAGGGTCCATGCTTCCTGGTCATGATTTGGGCAGGGAACCGCGGCTGGGGAGGACGAATGGAGCATGCAGCGCGAGACGCGAAAATGAAGTTGTACGGTGCGTGTCGAAGAGAGAGAGACGCTCAATCAAAACAGCTTTCGTGTCCCATGATGATTGATGATGGGTAATTCTGGAACACACACACACAAGGGTTTGATGATTTGCTGGGCTTATTTTAGTTGAAGTGGCAATATATTTGACTATAATGTCCTTCTTATCATAAACATCTCCTTTCTCACGGGTCGCCCCCTGGTCCTTTCTCGAACTTTTCTCGGATCTTTCCTCTTTGGTCGTCTTTTCTTCTTTCCTTCTCTCTTTTCTCTCTCTTTCCTCTCTTTCTCGTCGTGGGTAGTCTTTCTCTTCCTGGCGCTCTTCTTTTTCTCCTCTGGCCGTCGGTCAGTCAGTCGGTCTCTCGTCGCTCTCATCTCCTACATCATTCTCTCTCTCTCTGCCCGCTCGTCTCTCTAGTTACCGACTCCTCGGTGTTCTCTCCTCCCTCTACCGTCCATCTATCTCGGAGTCCCTCTCTCTCTCTCGTTCTCGTCATGCATCTTCGGCACCATGACTCCTTCGTCTCATCTCATCCATCGCTTCAGGGTCTTCTCTCTTAATAACTTCTCCTGGCGGTCCCTGGCTATCATGTCTCTTTCTCACACTGACTACTTCCCCCTCTCTTCGTGCTCACGTCATCTTTTCGGGACATCGCTCGAGCTATGTGTCGCGGGGTCTTATCTCTTCTCTCAGCAGCGACCCGGGCCTCTCTTTCTTCACTCTTCGGTTCCGGCCGTTATGCGGTCGGACGGCGGCGCTCTTTTCTCTGCTTTCGTGTCTCACGTCGCCACTCCCGTCATCTTTGGTTCAATCTCTCTCTTCTCACTCTCTACATCTTTCTCACTCTCTCTCGTCTCACTCTCTCTCTCTTCTCCATAGCTCAAGTCGTGAGGTCTCGGACCTCTTGTCCGCTACTCCATCGTCTCTCCTCTCTGATGTTCTCTGGCACTACTCATCCTTGCTCACAATAATTTCACTACTCATGTCTTCTTGTGATGTTTTTCTTTCCTTGCTCCTCCTTATCTCTTAACTTTCTCTTTCTCTTTTCGAGTCTCTCATCCGCTCTCGTGCTCTCTCTCTCTCTTCTCTCTCGGCTTCGCTCATCGTGTCTCGCTCATTCTCTCATCCTCTTTGCTCTCTACCATCTGTCCCGGGGTCTCTCTCCATCCGCTCGTCTCGAGCACACTCTCGAGTCACTAGGTCCGCATCTCTGACTGCTCAGACGTGTCCTACTTCATCTTGTCCTCTTTTCCGCCCGCGTCTCGATCTTCTACTCCCCGCCGAGTCTCCCCTTCTTACTTCTAGCGCAAGTTTCGCGATTTCTCGTCCTCTCGTCGCAGTCTCTCTCTCATCCCTCCCCTCTAACTTCAATTCTCTCTTTCTCCTCTCTCTCCCCCGGGTCACCTTCCTCTTTATCTCGTTTCTTTCCCCCCTTCCAACTCCTCTTTCTTGGGTCTCCTGCAATCTCTCCTTCTCTCCTCTCTCCTCTCTCTCCGGTCCGTCCTCCGTCCCCTCTGCTCATCTCCTGGCCATCCTCTTCCCCCTCCCGTCTCCCCTCTCCTCTCCCCTCGCACTTCTCAGCCCCTCCCATTCTCCACCCTCTGCTCACCTCTCCCTCCCCTATGCCCCTTACCCCTGCCCTTCTCCATCCCCATCCTCCGCCTAGTCGCCTCTCCCCCTGCCCTCACCCCTCCTCTCCCGCCTCCTCACTCCCCCTCCCGGGTCCTCATCCCCCTCCCTCGTCCCCCTCTCCCCTCGCCCCTCGCCCCCCTCCTCCTCCTGCTCCCTCCCCCCCCTGCCGCACCCCTCCCACGCTACTCCCCCTCTCTCCCCCCCCCACACAGCCTCTCCCCCTCCCAGATCCCCTCACCCGCTCCCTCTCGCCCTGCTCTCCGATCCCTCTCCCCTAACCTCCCTCTCGCCAGTGCCAAATGGCCGCCCCCCCGGTGCCAAATGCCCCCCCATTCACCCGGCAGTGTTCACCCAGCAGGAATCGGCGGTTTGTGAGCCAGGTCCGACATTCCGCGAAGAATAAGAGCAGCAACCTCGTTCTCAGCCTTGTGTCCACACTCCTAGGTCAGTAAGGTCGTTTTTTTATGTATATTTTCATTCATTATGTTCCTGTTGCTGCATGAGATGATATTATATAATATATATATAATTATATATATATATATATATATATATATATAGTATATATATATATATACATATAAATATACATATATACTATATATATATTATATATATATATATATATACATATATATATAATATATATATATATAATATATATATATATATATATATATATGATTTTTTTCTTTCTTTTTGTCAGCGCCGTTATTAGTTGCACTGTAGCCATGGTAGCTTTATGTAGTTTGGGGCTATTGATAGTTATTTTGCGTTGTCATCATTACTATTAGTGTTTGCTTCATTATATTTGTTCAAATATTAAGATTGTACATGCTTGGGTTACCGTCATTATCGTTATTTTTTTATCATCTGGGTTTTCTTGATTCTGTTATCGTTATTATCAATGTTGACCTCCACTACAGTAATACAGTTTTGTGTGCCACTGTTGTAAATGAAATGAGAAATAATAGCAGCTGCAGTTGTAGTCCTTGTAGTAGCAGTAAAGGTGACAGCAGTTACTTTTTAGCTATTTTTAATGTTAATATAGCAATTCTCTCCATATTATCATTGCAATTGTTATCGTCATCAATACTACCATTCTTATCAATATTACTTGCCTTTATTGCTATCATCAGCATATAATTCATTGTGGGGATTTTATTTTTAACTATAGATTGTTGATCGCGAGACGGCGGCATGGACTCTTGAGACGAATTATTTAATAATTTGAATACTTTCCCTTGCAGGAGCCATCCAGTCGGAGCAGTGCCTGGAGCGCCTGCTGTGCGAGCTGGGCTGGAGCCTGAGCGAGGTGGAGGCAGCGAGGGTGGTTAGTTTAGCAGAATTTTTTGTTTATTTCCCTCCGCGGTCATCTGCACATGCGCGGGCAAGCATCGATTCAGTTTAGCACATGGGGACGTAAATTCATCTGATCATGCGTTGAATATTGGAAATCATAGCGTTTGATTAAACCTTTTGAGACACGTGATCTAAACTAAGCCCTTTTCCTCATCCTAGGTGGTACAGCTGGCGGGCGTGTACGTGCCGCCCGAACACGCCCACCTCCTCGCCGCCCTCAGAGACGCTGTGCTGAGGATCGCCTCCTGTAGCCAGTATCGGTGTGGAAAGCTTCCCTCT